AAAGTAGTAGACAAAGCTACTGTAGCCCCAACGCAAATTATCAACGCATAGTAATAACATACGTGTTCGCACATGCTGCCTTATCCAGCTGACAGCTAATTGTAATCTGCAGCGGAAAAGAAATGAAAACGCACGCAAAACAACCTTTGAAGGGTATCATTTTCACCTGCTATTGGAATAAGTGCACATACAGCGCGATACCTCCACGGAACGCTCATGCCACTACCGCCATTCATAGGATAATACGTTTTCGATTTTTGAAAAAATACAAATTCTTTCTCACGTACTACCTCATTGAAATACCGTACACCTATCATTAGAGAGGCGGCGCCTCTATAAGTAGAATATGAAACGCATTGGCCTCGTTGCGGTTCTTCCAGCTGTGACAAGCCAGCAATGGATCCAAGCACATTCATACATCGCTCCAGCTGTTGCCCAAGAATCCGCACGCACCAAACGACGTTTTCTGTTTCCACGCACCTTCTCGCGACAGCCATTGTTTGGTCGTTCGCTCCGCCCCTTCTCTAATAAAGCTCTTCCTTTAAATGGAGTCAGCTCCCAGATCTCGCTGGCATTTCCTTTTGGTGTCAATCACACATATACCGCCAAGCTAGCATATACTTCCACTTATTATCTAAAGATATAGCACCACAGCTTGACTCACGCTTTCCCTACTCTACAATTTCCAAGAGGAACTGCAATCTCATTGGGTTTTGGAGCCTAGAAAGCGCAATTTCACATTTTACTGGCTTCAGCTTTTACTACCCCATTACTAAATAGAATGAGGCTCGTGTTTTCTGCCGATTACTTTGCTGCTTCTTTGGCGTTCTCTACTGTGTACTGTTCTCAAAACGTACTTTTTACATCATTCTCTCACTTTGAAAACACCATAAGATATGCATTGAACAATTCACCAGGTCACACGCCATCTCTTTACCATTTCCGCAAACCCACTTTCACTTTACAGGTATAATGTTGTCGGCACGTGCGATTTACGCTCTACTCTACACGCTTTTGATCGCCGTAGCCATCGTCAGTGCAGCACCGAATCGTATTCTTATGCGATTCGGTAAGCGAACGGCTGATCCTGTGCAATATCGCCCATTCGTGCCGGCCGACTATTATCCAGTAGAATTGCTTGGGTACGTTCCATGTTTCCCCGTTTAAAAAAGCCTCTATGATTACTTTTTGCTTGTTAACTGCACATGCGCGTAATCCATTCAAT